CTAGGGGTCATGAACCGCCTGGGGAAGGGGCGGTAATTCAGAGTTGATGCAAGAAATGGGAGGGCTGTTCCATTTCCTTTGCTCAAGAATCTATCACCAGCATCAAAATTAACGTAAGAGAGGGAATTCATAACTAATTAAGATTTCTGGCATTCATACACGAGCCGCTGGCACTATGTTTGGCACTGAAGCTGATGTCTATTTTTCAGACTATGCCTGTGCGCCATGGCAGATATGTATCAACGGTGAGATCGACACGAGCGGTGTAGGACAGCTGAACCTACGATCACCAGTGCCAGTGCCAAAGGAGGTTAGTGCCACTCTTACCAGTGTATAATTAAAGGCATGCAATGCTGATAACTTGTTGAATGACACATGTGTGGGTGAAACATTTCATATATAAAGATACTCAAATGTTGCATATGTATTATTCATCATATACCTGTGTAATTATACTCAGTGCAAAATTGTGACTTGATCTCAGTAAACAATGTGTTGAGAGGTAACATTAAGTCTCTCCTTCATATCCCCAGAACACTGCCGTTCTGTGTGCAGGCATCGGAAAAATTTGTTGCCTTATTCCCGGCTTAACAGCTGACGTACAGGTAGAGTCTGGAGGTGGTGGGGGTATCATAGAAGGAGGCGTCACAGGTGGTGGAGGGGGCATCATAGAAGGCATCTCAGATGGTGGAGGGGGCATCATTGAAGGTGGGGGTACCTCAGGGAAGTGGAGGCATCATAGAAGAAGGAGGCTTCTCAGGTGTGGGGGTACCTCAGGAAGTGGAGGCATCATAGAAGGAGGCATCTCAGGTGGTGGGGGCATCATTGAAGGTGGGGTACCTCAGAAGGTGGTTACTCAGGGGTGGTGGATCAACAGTGGTGGAGGCAACAGGTGGAACAGCACACAGCAGTGGAGGCTCTGGCAGCATCGTAGAGGAGGAATCCAGCGGTGGCCTCGAGCAACAACAAAGTGGAGGTAAGCCTGGCGTCCCTGTCTTACCAGGACAATGTGTCGATGGCTATGAATGCGTCTCAACTTACCTCTGCCATGACGGGAAGATAATAACCTCTGGAGAAGGCTTACTCGACAAGCGTATCGGCGGTAAGCCTATTTCGGTGAGTCTCCCAAATATCTTTCGAAGTGGAATGAGGCACTTGTCCATCATTATGGAAACTTTACGAGGAACTTTTTCCTAAATAAAGATTCCAAAAGGTTGAAAAGTTCTCGTTCTTTAACTTATCTTTTTTTCAAAACCTTTTACATCCCCTTTTATATTGCCGGGCTATTCAAAGGGAAAACTGATATTTAAAATTCTACTTGTGGTAAAGTGCTTTGCTGAAAAATTTCCCAAAAAACTCTGTATTCCACAGTGTTCCCCCTGAATACCCGACGTCCCTTCTGTGTGCTGTCATACCCGTCATGCAAACGGGTGACACCTGGTCCTAGGGGAGCCGCACTGGCACCCAGCCACTGACGAGACGGGCAAAAATCAGTCATGGAATCATTTCTTACTATGCTCACCTACCACAGCACCATGCTCACACTACCCCAGAAAACCATGCCACACACCACACACAATGCTAACTCACCACAGCACAATGCCACACTACCAGCAGCCAAGCCACACTACCAGCATACCATGCTCACACCCCACAGCACGATGCCCAAAATACCAGCAGCACCATGCTAGCACACCGCACACCAGCCGCAATACCAGCAGTACCAGCCAACACCAGCAGCACAATTTTTGGCACTACCAGCAGCACCATGCCCACTACCAGCACACCATGCTCACACTACCAGCAACACCTTGTTTCACACTACCAGCAGCACCTTTTTCACCTACCCAGCAGCACAAAGCTCCCCTTTTCCAGCAGCACCACTCACACACCACACCCAGCCCATCTCCCACAGAAACCTCTAAAACTACCACAGCCCCCATGCTCCCCACCACAGCCCCTTTGCCACACTACCAGCAGTACCTTTGCTGCACTACCACAGCACCATTTTCCACACTACCACAGCATCAGCTCGCACTAAAAACACACCAGCTCACACTACCACACATCATGCTCAAAAACTACGAAAGCAAAAGACTTGGCAACGTGCACCATCCCCCCAATGAAAGCAGGGGTTCACTACACGTAAAGAACCCAAACAAAAGGTCAGGGCCCGAGACTGTTAACAAGCCTCCCGCATACACAAGGGGGGTTACCCAACAACCCCGGCATCCTTTAACTGGGACGGGGCAACACCTAAAGTCGTTCCTACCACCAGGATTGGGTCACGTTGGTTTGCTTGCAGCCAGCAGCAAAAGCCGGTTGATCAGGGTCTGATCCACCAGGAGGCCTGGTCCAGACCGGGGCCCCGGGGCTTTTACCCCTGAACTCTCTCCCGTAAACTCCAGGAAACTACCAGCAGCACCAAGTCCACTAAACCAAAAAGCACCATGCCACACTACCCCAGCACCATGCCACACTACCCACAGCACCATGCCACACACAAACATACCATGCTCACACTACCACAGCACCACCCCCCTACCCCCACACCATGCTCACACTACCATCACACTATGCTCACACTACCCAGACCATCTACACTATCACACACCAGCTCACAAACGACACACCTTCTAACACTACCAGCACACCCATGCTCACATACCGCACACCATGCTCGCACTACCAGCAGCCCAGCTCAATACCCCCAGACCATGCCCAAATATCAAGCACCATGGGACCTACAGCGCACCCGCTAAAACTACCACGACAAGCCACACTACAAGCAGGACCACGCCACCTACCAGCACAAAACCCTCTCACAGTACCAGCAGCACCCCTCGCACAACCCACACACCATGCTCACACTCCAGCAGCACCATGCCACACTACCACAGCACCATGCCCCTACACAGTACCCTGCTCACACACCAGCAGCACCAGTCACACTACCCCCACCCCGCTCACCTACCACAGCACCATCTCACAAAACCCCCAGCAGCACCCTGCTCCACTTCCACAGCACCCTGCCACACTACCCACAGCATCATGGGGCCACTACGAGCAGCACCGTGCCAACTACGCACAGCACCATGCCACACTACCCACACTCCATGTTCACACTACCAGCAGCCCATGCTCACACTACCCCAGCACCATGCTCACACACCCCACACCGCTCACACTACCCACAACATACTTACACTACCCGCAGCCCATGCCACACACAGATACCATGCTCACACTACCAGCACACCATGATCACACTACCACACACCTCCCCACACAAAAAGCCATCAGCCACAGTACAAGCAGCACATCTCACACATCAGCGACATGCTCACACACCCGCACACCCTGCTCACACACCACAGTACAATCCACACTACCCAAAGCACCATTCTCACACACCAGCAGCACCTGCCACACTACTAACAGCCCCGCTCCACGCCGACCAACATCTTCACTAAAACAGCCCATGCTCAACTACCACAGCACCCTGCCACACTCCCCCACACCATGCTACACTTCCCACCCACCTGCCACCTTCCCAAGCACCATGCCACACTTCCCCACTCCATTCTCCACTACCACAGCACCTCTCCCTACCCACACCCATGCTCATTTATCCACATCCCATCCTCACACTTTCCCCCAAACTCCAGCTCACACTACCACACACCATCCCACACTACCCACAGCACCCTGCTCACCTTCTCACAGCACCATGCTCACACTTCCAACAGCTCCATGTTCCACTACCACAGCACCATTTCTCACCACCGCAGCACCATGCCCCCACCCCAAAACCCCAGCTCACACTACCAACAACACTTTTTCCACACTACCGCAGCACCCTGTTTACACTACCAGCAGCACCAGCCGCACTACCACAGCACCATGCCCCAAATACCACAGCACCATGCTCACAATATCACAGCACCATGCTCACACTACGAGCAGCACCCTGCTAACACTACCAGCACACAATGGGTCACACTACAACGGACCACCTCACTCACCCGCGCAAACCCTCCACAGACCAGCAGCACCAACCGCACTAAAACCCCAAACACCATGCCACACTACAACAGCACCATCTCACACTACCCCAGCACCAGCCCACACCACACCCCATGCTCACACACCTGCACACCTTGCCCACTACCACAGCACCTTCTCCAAAACCAGCAGCACCATGCTCAAACTACCAGCACACAAGCTCCACAACCCCAGCACCTTCTCACCACCAGCACACCATGCTCACACACCCACAGCACCCGCTCACACTACCAGCAAAACCATGCCATTTCCCACGCACCATTCCACCCCAGCACACCATGCTCACACTTTTCCCCAGCCCATTCTCACACACTCACAGCACCATCCACACTTCCCACACACCATGCTCACACTTCCCCAGCTCCATGCCAAACTACCAGCACACCATCCACACTACCCACAGCGCCATGCTCACTTTTACCCACACACCATCCTCACACTTCCCCCACTCCTGCTCCACTACCCACAGCACCATCTCACACTACCCAAAGCACCAGCTCCACTTCCCCCCCCATGGTCCCCCACACTACCAGCACACCATCCAACAAAACCCCGCACCCTGCTCACACTTCCCAAAGCACCATGCCACACTACCACAACACCTTGTTCACCAAAAACAGCACCATGTTCACACTACCACAACACCATGCTCACCTAGCACCACCATGCTCACACTACCACAGCACCATGCTCACACTACAAACAGCACCATGCCACCTACCACACAATGCTCAAACTATCAGCAGCACCATGCTCACATTACCACACACCATGCCACACTACCCTTGCATCATCCACACTACCATAAGCACCATGCTCAAAACCCCCCACAGCACCATGCTCACACTACCAGCAGCACCATGCTCACACTACCATCACACTACTCACACTACCCAAAGCACCAGCTCGCACACCACAGCACCATGCTCACTCTATCAGCACACCATCCACTCTACCACACACCATCTCACACTACCACACCCAGCCCACATCAGCACACCATGCTCACACTACGAGCACACCATGCTAACAAAACCACAGCACCATGCCACACTACCCGCAGGGCCAGCTCACACAC